GAGAATTTTATAAAATAAAAATGTTGTCTTGTCAGATGTCAACGGTAACGTGTGAAAATGATAGTGATTATGAATTAATTAGTCAAATTCAACAAAAATTAGTATTTGATAAATTGACCCCGTCAGAATGTACTGGTGAAGTTCTCAATGGTTTAATGTTAGAATGGAATCAACTGAAAGCTGAGATAACAGGTAAATAGATCGTTTATCTTATTATATAGATATCATTCATAAATAATGAATATTTATTAGGAATTCAATTTGAATACACGAGATTATTGCGTCGACAAACTATAGATTTTAAAAAGCAATAATTTTACCTCGTGCGGCTCGCCGTAGAAAACGAGATGATTATTTGTACGACCAATAGAAATAGATCGTCTCTCATCTGTATTAGGTTTGTCAGAAATTTATACACGGTTTATTGGATAGTTAAGGAAAATGCATGCTAAGAGTGTAAAAATTTGATGAGTGAGCCTGTCAGCATTCGTAGAAATACAATCGATTCATTTTTATTGCATGATGTTTGCTGTTGTAATATAAAATTTGAAATAAAATTGTTTTTTTGTTTTGTTTTCAATAAATCGTTTTTTTTCTGTTTCATAGACGAGTCTAAAACGTCATTTCATTATGATGCAAAAACAACTGAAAAAGTTCGTTTTGATACAGAAGCAACTGAACTGAAAGATCGTGATGGTGGTGGCGGCAATAATTCAATAACTGCTTTGCGAATACGTCGTCAACAATCAAGTGATAGGAGTTTAAATTCATCACCACGAAAAAAGACGGGAAAGATACGGATTAAAGCAGCATTAGACATTTTATATGTTTATCGTAGTTGTTATCGTATATGTTCTGGAGATATTGTAGCTTTTACTTGCTAAAAATAACACTTTTTAATTCATTATTATTTGTTCTCTTCTCTACTTTTAGTGGAAGTAGTCGACGTACCAATTATATCAACAACCGATTTAACATTAAAACGGATATCGGGAACAAGTGATGATGGTGATGCTATACAACGAGGTAACTAAAATCAATCTAATGAATTTATTCATTCATCTTCTTTTTTTGTTAGAATTTCAAGCCGTACAAAATCATCCTTCCGTACATTTATCTCGGTCTATAACGGTCACTGGTGATCGAAGTCCATCCGTAGAAAAGTAAATTTCTATCGGAGAAGTATACTACAAACAATCGGACAAGGAAATGAGCCTAAAATACAACATTCCGAGGATTAAAACGTGATACAGCTCAACGGTTAACTGAAGGTCCTATGAAACTAACTACATTCGTCTCAATAAATTATTTAATGGTGGTCGCAATGTTTCATGAGTCCAATTTGTACACGGTAATAATTTTTGAAAATAATTTTGTAAACCACGATATGACATTGTTATTGGATCATAGCCGCCTAATTTTAAAAGTATATGAGCAATATCGGCTAAACGTGAATGACATTTAGCATCTAATAATTCTGGTAAATGTAATTGAGGATCATTTATTAATTTTGCCAATTCTTTTAAACTTTTTGTAGAAAAATGAACAAATATTGAAATAACAGATAATAATGTATCACGTGGCCATCTAAAAGAAATATCTATAACTTCTTCATTAAACTTAATAAATTTTTCAATACGTACCGATATTCACTTGCTTGTCTATGTTCATCACCGACTTGCACTTTATTCTTACGATTGTCAATCAAACGACTAAATATAAAACATACATTAGATTGAAAATGATTTATCTAACAAAATTTTACCTCACTGAATTTTCACACGTTACCGTTGACATCTGACAAGACAACATTTTTATTTTATAAAATTCTCGTGAAGCATATTCAGGTTAGAGGAACACTATTCTCGAAACGCCGTGATTCGAACTATTTTTCGATTGAGAATGCCCATACGGATTACCAATGACCATGTTTATGAAACGCTTGATGATTATCATTTCTTTCATTTTGAGGTTGTGAATACTATTCGAAGTGAGAAAAAACCCTACACTTCAACGTATTAATTATACATTAGTCCCCAATATGCATTACTTCTATTATTATCCATTATCTATCTATTATCTATCTAACAAGAATAATTTTTACCTAGTAGAATACTAGAAAACTAGAATAGTATAATAGTAGAATAGCAGAATAGCAGAATACAGAATAGTAGATACGAGTGATTTCACAAAACCAAGAAAGAAAAAAGTGGTCGCTGAAGTGACAGTCTTTTACGTAACTCAAACTCTTCAAACACTTCTGATTGCTCTCTCTGCAAGTGATAATGGTAGGCACAGAAGAAAAAAGAACTAGAAAACTGCTTATCCAGCGACCCGGGCTACTAACTGCTAAAGCGCTAAACCGTAGAAGAGTTTTGTCGGTTTTATCGGTAAGAGCCGATAATCGTTATCGTTGCATGCCTATTCAAGAACCCTTTTTCTATAGTAAAGGCGAGTTGCAGCCTCTTTTATTTATGGGCTGAAATGGGGAAAAACGATCGTTGAAGGATAATCACTAGCTAGGGAATGTTCGAAAATAAAAATAATAAAGCAGACAGTCTAAAAGTCTAAAAGTAAGATATCTAGGAATGTAAAAGTCTAGAAGACCAAAAAAGTAAGAGATGTAAAAGTCTAAGGATCCAAAAGTAAGAAATCTAATGGGCTGAAAGTTTAAAAGTCTAAAGTCTCAGAAATCTAAAAGTCTAAAAAGTGTTAAAAGTCTTAGTAGATTTTTGACTTCTACACCGGTCGAAAATAAGCAAATCTTGCTCTGTCATTCTTTCTGTTTTAAGGTAAAGAAACGAAATGCAATCAAGCTGTCATGGTTTTCCTTTTGCAGAGTAATGCAGAACAATGAAGCTTGAGTTTAGACTTAAAAAGAAAATGTTTTTGTAGAACCGTAAAAGAGTAGATGCATTTCACCGGTTTCTTGTGAAGAAACATAACTCTAAAATTGTTTCAACACAAAAAACTATACATGACATTTCAATTCCATTTAAAAACACTGAAAAAT